TCAAACCATATATGATGAGAGTATAATCAGTATTATAATTCGTATGACAAATAATACACCAGGCTCAATAATTGAGTGTTATAAGGGAAACAAGCGTGGTAAAGCAAGAGAACATTTGATGCATAAATATTTTAACCATTTTACGTATTTTTATAACAATCTAATTTTAAGAATTGAACATGCATGATTATTAAGTATTATCATATTAGTATATACACATGTAAAATGTTAAAAGGTGTGGATGCTATAATAATTATTTCCAGTGTTACTTTTACCAACACAACTTGGTGAAAATTGTAGAGAATAGACATCAGTAAATTAGTTAACGTTCGCTGCGTAAGTATTAGAGTCAAGTTACACGTATGTGACTATACTGAAGACTGGACTGGCCTTCAATTTCCGTTCTACCAACAGTTGTGGTCTTTTAGACGAGCTAGGGTGGACATGTTAAAGTGTCTTTCTAGGCCCCGTTTGAACCCATCGGGGTTTTCGCAACATCTTATTTCAGGTGGTAGTTGGTTCCAAAGAGTGCAATATTTTATGTTTGACAGTATCTGGGGAAGCCGCTCACCCACGACAGATATTAGCACGCCGGGCCTAAGTGTGTGTCGTACATCAAGTAGAGGTCAGCCATATGATGCTGCCAAGCTCTTGCCCCTTGAAAATCTTATAATAATAATAATAATGTATATTCTCATATAAACATATAAATTTACATGAAAATGCATGCCATTTTTACAGGCACGATCAAGTATGATATAATATCAAGTCGTAGATTGTCTACAAGTTAATAATGTTTCAACAGTTAAATATCTGATATATATATATATACATAAATACACTCATTGTCTGAACTAGGCCGTATAGTTATTGAATTGTACAATTGTCCTCCAGGTTGAGCGGGAAAATCGACTTCGTTTCGTTTTCATCCCGTGGTTGTAGGCATACGATAATCAACCAATATTGAGGTAAGTACAACGTTTACAAGGAATTGGAAGCTGTTTTGGAAAAATTAAAGTGCTGTGGTGTAACATTAAAGTGTAATAGATTAAGTGAGTGAGATATATCATTAATAAACACATTTATATAGAAAACAGAATGGGGAAGTAATTAATCCTTAGGCCGACAACGTTCATTTGCAATGTATAATGAAACCAATATATTTTATACTATCATGCGTTCACTTTTGGCTTTAATACAATTATTTTCAAGCCAGTCGTTTTTATTTCATGCCTTTTTGTTTATTTGGTGCACAACCGTACCCTACAGAGAACAGGAATAGTATAAGTAGAATTGAATTCATAAAGAGCTATAAAATGTTAGGTTTAATGAGATATAATGAGGATCACGCAAAGACGTTATTAGAAAATGAATGAGACAAGATATTGTGAAGTGGTATTTAAAGATCTGACAATGGATAGCAAGTTAATTTATAAGATGCCCCATAAATCTGCGCAAATCCCATGCTGTCGCATCTCAACAATAGGCTGAGCGAATGGTATATATTTAAAGGTAGAAGCATTATCTGTCAAGGCGTTCACTGCTATCTTTTTCAAGATAAAGATCTAGGTCCTCATAAAAATCAGAAATATCTCGAGCCTTCAAATTGCGTATTGCTGTTCCTGCAGAATGGGGCGATTCACCTTAGTGACCACCACCATATCTACTGATCAGCTGTCCGCTTGCTGTCCGCTATGTTTCACCCAGCACAGGTAAACATACTGGTCGTTGAAAGTGAAATGGCTGAGGTTCAGCTGGGCAGTCGTACCTATTTCACCCCCTACAGGAGCGACATATTCGCAAATGGTCGTATACACAGAGAGAGACGATAAGATCAAGAAGCTGACATCTCGTGGGATTTCATGGTGGTATCCCTTGCGAAATTAGGTCACATGTGCCATGAGGAATAATGCAGAGGGGTGTGTGTAATTTGATTCTGAGATTTGCTTCTACATCAGGGTCTGGACTCATCCTTTCCTGAATCCCAGAGGTCGACGATCAAAATGGTCCAGATTTACTGTCCATTCACAATGATACAGCATTTGAAAACCACCAAAAGTTATTATCACTGTAATTATAAGCATCACCCGAGGCTCCTATTCTGCAGTTACAGTCCTTGGCAGTCTTTATCTTGGTTGTATGCACGAGCGAAGTTAAGCTAAAGGTACCAGTAAGTACCAATGGTGAGTGGCCTCACCAATGACCATGGAGTGCTCAGCTGACAAGGTGAAGGTTAGCAGACAGTTAACATTATAATCCTGAATAAAATTTGCATGTTAAAGTGTCTTGATATTAAGAGAATATCTGGGAAGTTTCAAGTTAGATATGGGAAGGATTAAGTTGGGCTAAGGAAAAGTTAGAGTTGGGTCAACCTGATGAAGAAGATAATGAGGCTGGTCTGAGTTAGATTAAGGCTAGTTCAAGGATTCTTTTGCATAAGAATTGGGTTGGAAGAAGATTAGGGAGAATATGTCGGTTAGAATACACGAATAAATATATGTCCATCTCTTATTACGCTGGACCTCACGCTTTCCCTGGAAGACTTTCGGAAACAATTGGTAGTAACCAACGCGAAAAACCAGAACACAGATTGGGGACTCGAGAATCCTTTATTCTTACGCCAATATGTAACCAACAATAAGGTTATTAAACACAAGGTCTAAGAATAAATGTTATAACAATAAATCACGATGGGTGGGCTACACGCTGATCATTTACACTGAGGGTCTCACGAGTATCCATACCTTCTGCAACTGCATCTGCATTTAATTCTACTTCACGTTCTAGTTGTACAGAACCTCTGTTCAACTTAGCAGTAGTAGGCATTCCCCTCATTTCATCATGATCAACCAAAAATCTGCACTATCATGATCATTATCACAAATATTTAATTTACCGTCATCTATCTGGTCGACTTCATCATTTTCAAACTCTTTAATGACAGCAGTAGATGATTTGGGTTCTTCCTCACAGATCCATAAAGGTTTTATACCTTCACTCTGACTAGTAATACCTTGAAAACTTGTTGAGTCAGAACTGGACTCTGAAACTGTAACTCTCTTCTTCTGCACAAACTACGGTGTCGTCTGTGACACTCTATTCATGAATGGCTTACCAGTTGCAACTACAGGCTTCTTCCCTGCACTATTATCGTCACAAGGTTCGGAGTCAGACCTTGATTTCACATTTAGCTCACGATTAAGATTGGTCACTTCTTCACAGTTGCACAGTATGCACTTCTTACAAACGTGTAAAACACAACCGTGTTTTTCTTGCATCTTGTAACCTATCTGTTGAGGATGTCCCACGAAAGCCGTCTATATGGATTACTGACACCATGTTACCAGTTATAGACCAGTAGAGGTATTCCTCATGATATCAAAAGCACTGGATAGTATTATTGATGATCTCATCAGGTGGCACCTTGAAAGAACTAGTAGACTGTATGAAGAATAAAACAGTTTCACTTCGAGCCTGCCATGCCTGGAACTCCTAACTGGCAGATGAATCTACAGCAACGTCCATGGACAGCTTTTAGGAAGGCGTCCTCACTTCGAAGGCTTCCGTAAGTTTCCCGTTGTGGATTACTCGGCATGCAGTTCTGTCGTATAACTGTTGGATGAGATGTATAACTGTATAATCGTGATGACGTAGTTGCTAAATTACCTCTCAATCGACGCTGCGCTGTCAAGGGCCTTTTCAAAGTCGATGAAGTTGAGTGGGGTGGAGTGGCGACTGCCATTCCAAGCTTTGTTCAGTGATGAGCGGTAGTGTGGCGGTTTCATCAATACATGATTTGTTTCTCCTGAATGCAGCTTGTTCCTGTCGAAGTTTTGCATCTAGGGCTTGTTTGATTCTCTCCAGGATGATGCGGCTTAGTATTTTGCTTGGGATGGACAGGAGCATAGTCCCACGCCAGTTCTTGCATTGACTTAAGTCTCCTTTCCTTCGTAGTTTGAATAAGTATCCTTTCTTCCAATCCTCGGGTACTTTGCCGTCTTTCCACACCTTCTCCAGCAATGGCGTCATCAAGTCCGTTGTTGTCTCTGGGTCCATTTTCAATGCTTCTGTTGGGATTCCATCTGGTCCTGCTGCTTTCCCAGCTTTTAGCATCTTGATTGCACTCAGGGCTTCTGATTTCGTCGGGGGTTGATGTTTACTGGTAGTTCTGCTTCCGTCGTTGGTATTGTTGGGCGCGTTGTAGATGACGGTCAATTTAGAAGTCTTCTGAAGTGTAGCTTGCATTCAACTCCTGTTTTTGTTGCTCGTCGGTGCACTGTTTTGTTTATTTTGTTTCACCATCCTTCTCTCTTCCTTAGTCTGCATAACCTACACTAAATACATCTGTTGTTATTATTACTATCTCTTTTTTGTTGATGACATCGGAGGACTAAGGGTGAAAGAATCAACTCCATCTACAGTAGCAACACGGTTTTAACACACCACACATTACAAACAACATATAATTAATCCCAGCAGCACTCCTTTTGCAGACAACCAAAGCTACGACAATCGAGTGGTTTGACGAACTATGCAGAAGTTCACTGAAGGCTAAGAACCTTTACTTCACATCTAAGGGGCGAATACAAAGAAATAAAACTGGTTTACACTAGCTTGTAAAATGATATTGGATGTTAATAATACGGTATCGTTGCTGTATCGACACTCCAGTCCAGAACTGGGAAGCATTTTTGTGACACTTCAGAAAAAGGCGTCCTGCAAGTTTCACACTAATATTCAGTATTTTCAAATTTTACCTACTTTACAATAAATAGTGTCCTTTTCATGTGGTTGGTTCCTTCAAGGTCACTTGTTCAACAGTATTTACAGGTGCTTAAAGTTTAACTTCGCTTATGCATGTTAAAACGCTGTTTACATTCTCTTCGAAGACAAACAAATATGAAAACCTGATTCTTGAGAAACTTGTTCTAATATACATGGTTGAAAGTGACCTTGCCCGTGAGTTGTTTAGGTCGTCTGGCTGCTAAGGGCAACACGCGATGGACAAACCACAAATAATAGGACATATAACGAAGTCTGTTGACTTTACTCTTTTTGATTGTAAATGGATACCAGTTAGTACTAAGTTTGTGGTTGTTGGTTCGAAGCCAAGAGGTACTGGCGCTATTCAAATCTACGATGTATCAGCACAAGATATTAATTTAGTATCTGAGGTAAGAAAATGTCTTTCTTATCTTCAGTGAAAAGCATATGGTGGTATTTTAGGTGCTTTGAGACTGCGATGACTGAACTGTGTAATTCTTTGTATTTTGGGGACTCTTGGTGTGTTTTACCCTTTACTAGTTTGTAGAAAGAGGTGGCTGATAATTTATTGTTTTTGTAAGATCAATGGAATTACAAATCATTAAGGATGCTTTAATTATAACAATGATGAAAATACAATAGCAAATAGAATTTCAATGGGAAATTTCCACAAAATCGGGGATCATTCACACCCATATGACCAAGGTAAAGACGTCTGAACTAGCTTCTTTTGGAGACATAAGTTAGGCTTCTTAATGTGGGTCCCAACAGCCTCAGCAATATTTAGCAAACGAACTCTTAAGGCGAACTTAAGATTAGTCAGTATGCGGTAAATGACTTTGAAAGCCGCCTCGTTAACACCAATCTTGTTTTCTATATCCAAAAGATGAGATAGAATAGCACTGCGAATCGATTTCGTTTGCCTTTTACTTAGCCACGTAGGATGATGTTCGGAAACCTGACATCTAATTTTACGGCCTATGTAACTGGTTCCACAGGAGCAGTTAAATTGGTAGATACACATGGAAGAGGCGATACTTTACTAGTCGATATTATTTAAAAACACTAATATTGTTATTGACTACTATTCCAGAATATTCTGTGTGTATAAACATGTGTATGATTGTAGAGCCAGAAGAAGAAATTACCGAAAAGATATTCTTTGCTGAATTATTTTTTTAGATGCCTTAATGAATCTTTTCGGTAAGTTTTTTAAGTCCTCAGAAGGGCTTAGTGAAGATTCGAAAATAAACTAAAGTCAGGAACCCAAGGGAAGTAAGCGCTCGACATATTATAGGGTACGAATTCCTACTAGATTAAAAAAAAAGTGGACGCTTCTACCTGATAAGTGTGAAGGTAAGAAGAGTTGAGAAAAGCACAATAAAATGTAGTAAAAGGAAAATGCAAGGGTGGAAAGAGTGGGATAATTCTTGGAAGTAGTCTAAGAGTACGATAGAATAAGAGACAGAATCCTGGGTTACACTGACGTATGCGTGTCAAAGCTTAACTTCTTTTTATACCACTCGACTTTACTTTGTAGATAATTTGGCCTGAGTTAACCGGGCGCTCTAGAACTCACGACTGTAGAAATAGACTCTAAGCTTCGTCGAGAAGAATTATGTTTTTACAGAGCTAGATAAGCGGTTTTTGAGAATTTCGGTAGCAGTATCACCCCTGAATTCTGAATTCATAAACAGCAGTTCCTTTGACATTTTCGTGTTTTCCTCGTTGAATGTTGTAGGACATACCTTTTGAATGAGGACTTGTATAAATCTCTTCAGTCCATCGACTGCATCAGTGATGCATATCCTTCTTATGTATATAGTGCATGCTTTCCCTTATTTCCTGTTCAACCAAACATCAAAAAAGGGAATTCAGATTTCATCTGTGATTCCGATGTGAACTTGATAGAATAATGGGAATCTTTGAACTCTTTTATTATCATCCCGTTGTAGGCGTCTCTGTCACATATGACGAAGGTATTGTCCATTTGCTTTTGGTGCATATAAAAACTTTGTATAGTTGACAGTAACACATCATTTTCTAGACTTGCTATCCAAATGGACGACCCAATGGCCATTCCATTGTCACTCATTCTTTTTGTAGTATTCAACTTGAACTAAACCTTAAAAGTATGCTTCCATAGCAGTTCATTTGAATAGTGAATTGGAATACCCATGTCCGAATTATCACCCTTGATGAATCCTCATAGAAAGTAAATAGTTACTATGAGACGAACATTAATGAAGAGAGAGGTCACATCCAGACGTATAGTTCTCATCCCAATTACGTCCACATAACTTAAATCAACAGATCCAAATGAATATGACACATTATGATGATTGAGATTGTTCATAATAGGTGGAATAACTTTTGGGAGTCATTTAACAGTAGTATAGCGTGTTGTTTTATTTTCGTTTTTGCTAATTGTATATCAGCTTGTTGTCTTTGGTGAATTACCTCTTATTATTGTTGTAATTATACAGTTGCACACTTATTCATCCAGCATGGTATTGTGGTAAACTGGCTATTTATGCATAGTGCACGTGGTTCAAAGGTGGAATGGTCACCAAACATGCACCTTGTCTGGTTACTGGCTGATGCACTTTACAACCCCACGTAGCCGGTAGTAAACCTGAAAAATGGGGAGATTGGGCTGGAAACTGCAGCCTGTAAGAAAAATAGCGCTGCTACTCCCCTTGAAACTCTAAGGGAAAAAATTATATTAGATACCACTAATATCAAGATCATTCAGAGCGTTATGGGCAGAAAAGAACAAAGACTAACTTTTCCCAAGTTATTGAAGATTAGGGATGTGTTGATATTTGATATTTATCTGTTAATAATTGCTACTACCGGTGACAGAAAAGTCGCAAGTATAGGTGTTAAGTAAATAGTATTATCCTTCATCATCATGGTTTCATGTTGACTGCCTGTCAATTAAATATGATACTTAACCGATTCCGACAGATCTTTGTTTATGCAGATCAGATGATACAGTAATTCATTAATTCATCTGTTTAATACCAATACCGCAACTTGATCTAATTCAACGGGAGATTATGATAAAATGAAGTCTTTTGATCACCTTGAAGAGAAATCTTTGAACGTTTGGCATGCAATTATCCCCCGTCAAATTTGAGATGATACTGCGGGACTGAATCCTAGTTTAAGGTTAGGGAAGGAAGTGGTTGACCGCGTTGATCACTTAACTTTCTTAGGGAGCTGAATCAGCTTTAGTCGACTGATTTTTGATGTAAACTCAACGTGGATGTAAAAGGCTCCTACAGTATTGTCCAACTTATGCCATCTCTGGCGTATATGTGTCATCCAGCCACCAATCAAGAAATGTGTATACTGCGCAGCAAGTCTTCCTTTATTGCTGTGAGACATGGAATTTGAAAATGGGAGATATGAAAGGGCTGGCTGTCTTTTACCACATAGACTTGCCTTCTGTTTCCTGTGTTAGGTGGTATAATATGGTGAGTAACCCTGAAGTTAGGAGTAAAGTGTTTGGTATGGAGGGTAGACCAATCGACGAGTTGTCTGTCCGTTTGTCTGTTTTCGACATAGAACTTTGCACCGACGTGCAGCAGTTCAAGTCGCCAAACTCCATGTAGAACACAAAGCAACAGAAGAAAGTAGAAGAAATGTATAATAGAGGCAGTAAACAGAGGTGTGAGACAAAGGAATAATAATAACGAAGAACAATATAGTTTTATTGGGAATCATAAGTCACAAGGAGTGGATGCATCTTCGCCATACATTGAGGACGATTTTGAGTCGTATCACCAATTGTTTCCAGCCATTGCTTTTTACCATCCCGATGACCCCAACCAGGAAGTCTACATCTTCCGACGTGGCTAGCTTAAACTAACTGTTGTGGACTTCATTGACTGGTGCCATGTTTTGGTTTGACCGCCGCTAGCTCCTTTCCAGCCTGATCCCATGTCAGCTAACATTCCCCGTCGAGGAAGGCGATGACTAGGCATCCGTAACACATGTCCTAACCATCTCAATCGGTGTAACTTTACAGCCTCGTCGATTGATTTTCCCTCCTAACCTAGCACTCGCCGCCTAACCTCAATATCGCTCACCTTATTATACCACTTCACACGGGAGATAGAACGCAGGCACCTATGATGAATGACAGTTAGCCTTTACATGTCTTCCACTCTCAATGGCCAAGTCTCACAGCCACAAAGGAGGACGAAGCGGACTGCTGAGCAGTACATATAAACTTTAATCTACAGTCAGATATCATGTCTACGTCAGAGATGGCGTTGGTTGTTGGAATATGCCAAACGAGCCTTCTGTATCCGTACTGAGATTTCGTCAGCGATTAACCTGTTGGTGCTGATGCAATGTTGAAACTCATAAGAAACACATAAGAAAGTCAATCATTCAGTCAGTTAGAATTCCTTTTTCGAGTGATTACTTCCACGGTGTGGGCAGCCGGAAAGTAATAACTATCCACATACTTCCATGAACACTTCCAAGTATATAGGATATTTGTAGATAGAGGCACATTCATCTGTACGTCTGTGATAAAACTGAGCCGAGAAATGTCTAGTTTTGCCACTTGAGGTACACTTTACTCCAGACAAGCTTTCAAGTTCCTGGGGTTGCATTTAATACAATTATGAATAATAAATTATGTTTGAATAGACAGCCTGAGAATAATAATAATGTTTCACTGTGGGCTGTATTTGTTTAACGTATCGATATGAAATTATGTAGCGTCTAATCTGAGTCAAGAACATCACCAACTGATTTTGAACTCAAACTTTCAGATATAGTAGATTATCCTTGGTGTAAATGTGAAACAGTTTTATCAACTTCAGAAACATTTCTAGGATTTTCAAGTATTTGTTTTGTAGGGATTTTGTTTAATTAGTTGGAGGATTTCATTATGACGTGAACCCCGGTGTGTACGTACTGATGAAGAGTCCCAAGCCAGGACGAAACAAGTGGCCAGTTCTCCCTGCGGGTTTTGCAGTGGTTCTGTAACTGATGTCAGCTTATGGTGAAATCCTCCAACCAATTTTTCGGGATTGTCATCCACTTGCTTTTCAGACTCGCAACAGATGGTAGGTAACAGTATTCTAGGTGGACGGTTCCTAGAGGTGTTCTGTCCAACATCACAGTTATATATCCTGGCAGTTCGCCATGAATCAATCCTTTCTGGCGGTAGTTTTACCTTCCATAATCTTTTCTAAACCATTTTGTTTGGTACGCCTAAATATTTAAAGCGCAGTATTCATTTTTGAAGCCGCATCCATCGTCGTCACTATCTTCACAATACTGGAAGTTATCCCGGGTTAAGTTATGTAAAATGTCCAGTTGATTCACTTTCTCTTAGGAAACACGTTTATACTGACATGTTTGGTATAAAAATCTTTAGTTCCCGTTAATCACCTAGTTAATACCCAGTCACTAAGCGTTTACTCATATGCGTATTTTGAAGCCTTTTATAAATAAATAGTTATGCTCAAGCAACGCTTTGCAATATATGCGGCAACTGTTTTTTTACCTATAGAAGATTGATTATTAAATATCCGTATTGCATATAGTTATGATCAAAATATTGTGTTAAGTGTTATGTTTCATAAGTGCTTCTTTATATTTCAGAGTGAAAAGAGGAGTTCATTTAAATGCTGTACTTTCGGAGCCTCTATACTCCCTCAACGACATCTCGCTACAGGAGCATTTGACGGAAGACTAGCTATTTGGGATATTGGAAGTGATGCTCGTCTGGATGCACCTATTTATGGCGTTCAAGCTCATAAAGAAATAATAAACGCTATAGATGCTGTCGGAGGACTGGGTATTGGTGAAGGAGCTCCAGAGATTGCCACAGGCAGTCGAGATGGTGCAGTTAAAGTTTGGGATCCAAGACAAGCTAAGTTACCTGTAGCAACTATGGAGCCTTCTTCTTCTTCTTCCAACGGTGTACAAGATTCAATTAACGAAAATAGACGAGATTGTTGGACTGTTGCATTTGGTCATGCCTATAACAAACACGACAGATGTTTAGCTGCAGGATACGACAACGGCGACATAAAATTATTCGATCTAAGAGCTATGAAAGTTCGTTGGGAGACAAACATTAAGAATGGTGTTTGCTGTCTTCAATTCGACAGGCGAGACATATCTATGAATAAGCTAGTGGCAACCACCTTAGAAGGAAAGATACATGTATGGGATATGCGGACACAACATCCAAAAAAAGGTTTTGCATCACTAGTTGAGAAAAATCAAGGTGCAACTATATGGCAAGTAAATCATCTACCTCAACAACGTGATATATTCATGACAGCTGGTGGTAATGGATCTTTATGCTTATGGCAATATCATTATCCAAGTAAACGTCAAAAGATAGTGAAAGAAGCAGATCCTGAAGGGAATGGTGATATTGAAGTTGCCCAAGGTGTAATCGGCCATTTAACACAACTTCAAAATGTAACTCTGTCCACTCAACCAGTATGCAGTTTGGACTGGTGTCCAGATAAGCTGGGTTTAGCAGTCTGTGTTGCATTCGATCAGGCGATAAGGATCCTTATCGTTACAAAACTGAATAAACTTTGAAATAGGTGTGCAAAATAAATGCATAGTATGTGAAATATGATGTGTATATAGTGAGTGAATAAATATATATTCTATTTTTGTCCCAAAGCTGTTTGTGTTTTCCTCATTGTTACGTTACATTGATTCGAAAATGAGTCCGTTCAAGTTTTCACGTCTCACAACAGCAGTCAAGGTACCAAATGGCTTGTAAAACATGAAAATAATTTGAAATAATGTCAGTAAATAAACATTAGAGTCTCTGGAGTCTTCAAATTTGTATTTTATTCCTTTGTCTTTTGAGTGGAACATAATGCTCTAGACTTGAGCTGTGAAGTTCCCAATGGCGATGGTGTTTTTTCTTTCCAGAGGTTTAGTGGCTAGCCTTACACTCCAACCTTCTCTCTTTAACTGGGCTTACTAACAGTGAATAGAGGTTTATGAGTGGGTCGGTGGGGAATAGATCCCCGGACCACGTGGGGGATGGTGGTCGGTATGGTAAGCATTTCAAATGTAATTAATAGTGTTCTCGGAGCTGGTTGGTTTAGTTGCGGAGCTTTCGTCGTCCCCCTTCTGGGCAACATCTTCAGAGCAATATTTAGCATAAAGTGAAATGATTTAAATTTTTTCATGATTGATACTATTGCGTCTCGGTAACCATCTTTACATATGTATTGATCATTTTCTGTTGACTCGGGTTTTAAAGTTTCTGGTTACATGATCTACTTTTTATTAGTTGGTATATTTGGTCTATATTAACGTGTTTGTTAATTGCATACTCGTTTGAGTATCAGGCTTCCAGGAATTCCTTGACTGCACTTTTGGTGTTTCCTCTATCTAAGATTTCGACATTATCCCAATCAAACTGATGTCCATAATTGTCTATATGCATTGATATGGAAGAATACATATCGTGTCTTTTCACAGCTGATTTGTGTTCCTGGATTCTGATTCGAAGGGTACCCCAACTTTGGCCGACATAATGTCTGTTAAAATGCATACAATTTATTTTGTAAATGGTGTTAATTTTATCTCCTTTTTCTGTTGGATCTTTCGGTTTGCATAATATCGAATTCAGCGATTTGACTGGCTGGCTTATGTGCTAAATGTATATCAGACGGTGTCAGTGTTCTAGCTGTTATTTCAGAGATATTTTTCATGTATGCTAGGATGAATTTTCTTTTGGTCTTTGATGATGGTTCCTTGTTGGTGTTGTGATTCAATTTTAGACACTTTTTGATGAAATTTTATCAGAAGGACGACGAAAGCTCCTCAACTAAACCAACCAGCTCAGAGAACACTACTTAATTGCAAATCATCCACCTGAGCGACAAATCTTCTTTATTATTTCATGTGTAAGGACAGAATTTTAATAGTCTAATGAACTTTCATTTTCCCCTATTGATTATTAAGAGTGGAACTTGGTATACTTCAGCGGCATATCTCCAATCCACTCATTCCTCTACTATCACCTACAGCTAGCTCCATGATCGCTCACAAGCTTTCTTCTCTTCATATGATGTTCTCTGTGTCACCCTTGGATTATAGACTCGATGCTTCCTAGTTAAGTTCTACTGCAGTGCGTGGCGCATAATCCCACTTGAGTATTTTTGTTGTTGTTGTTGTTTTACGTCATCATCAAAATATTTTAAAAGAATGATGAGTGATCAAACTGCAATTAGCCGGATGGGGAGGAGGATTGGTGAATTTAGACTAAGGTTGCGTAATATGAAACATGTTCAGAAAAATTGGATGTCAGTGATGGAAGAACAAGGAGACAAGAATAAAAATAAATTAGTTAGAGGTTTTCATCATGAGCTGACATCAGTTCAAGAACCATTGGAAAACCTTTAGGGAATACTGGACACCTGTTTCGTTCCAGTTTGGGATTCTTCGTCAGTACGCACCCACTGGGGTTAACTTCATGATGAAATCCTCCAACCAATTAAACAAAATCTCTACAAAACCAATACTTGAAAATCGATCTGATGCTCACTGGGGACTTGTCCTATTCAGGTAGGTAGTTAGCTGGGTTCTAGTGGGAAGCTGTGACCAGTAGAGTACAGCAGGTTGAAGGTGAAGTACTAACTTATCGAAGAAGACATTGAAAATTGGTCGCGTTATGTAATGAATTGGCAGAAGTCAGAATTCATGGGCTGGCCATTGGATCAAGTGCCAATGGCTGAGTAGTCTACCAGCTCGCTAGCCTTGTAACCAGAAGGTCCTGGGTTCGAACACTGCGGTGGGTGCGTGCTGATGAAGAGTCACAAACCAGAGCGAAACAGGTGTCCCTGCAGGTTTTCCAGTGGTTCTCTAACTGATATCAGCTCATGATGAAATCCTCCAACCAATCAAACTAAATCCCCTTCAAACACAATACTGGAAAAAATAAATAATATTGTGGGTGAAAATTACGCCAATAAATGTCGTATGAAAAAATTCACAAAAAATAGTAATAATGACAAAATGTTGATAACAGTTAAACTAGGAGTTATACCCGAATTCGGAAGAAGGGAATGGGGAAGTTACTTCTATGTACATAAATCCGTGTTTTTCATTTGAATCGCTGAGGCTTCGACAACGCAAAGTCAACGCAATCATACTGTTTTTGGGAGGCTTCTTATGACTTTGAAAATAACGGTGAATGAAACTCTGCTTGCATATGCAGTGGCCAGTGTTCAATATATGTTCAATTATGGCACTCTTTATTGATCCATTGTTAACCTTCTATAGCCAAGTGGGATAATATTCTTTGTCTCTTTTAGATAAAACTCGCATCGAACGACCTATAGCTCTCTCTCCACAGGAGCTAATGAATCGATAGATACGCATAGAAGTGGTCAGAGGCGATAGTTTATCCTAAGAGTTATTGCAGAATACTAATCGTAATATGTAGCAGCGAAGAATGTTATTTTCAGACCGTTTGATATCCTTCCCTTATGGGTAAATTTTTGTTTTGATAAAGTCTCACAGTGTTATACAGTAATGTTTACTGATGACAACGTTGAGAGCACAATTTATTGCTCATAATCATATCAAGGTACTCACACGACTTCCTAACTTCATTTATATAGTTCCATTATTTTCCATCGCTTGATTTTCACTTGATTTGATTGGCAGTAGTATTTTCCATATTTCAGGTATGAGTGATGAATCATTCCTATTGCATGTGTTCGGTGTAGACTCGATGAACAGGCAGGATTCAGTAATCAACCTGTCTCTCTCTCCACCTACCTATATTACTTTTTAGAATTGTAATTCTCTCCCACCACTCTATTATGTGTGAATGCATGCAGTGCAATTGATGAGCTTTTTTCTAAATTACTTATCTTCTCGGGGTCAACTATTCTTACCTTAGCTAAATTCTTAAGTCCGACAATCGGACTACTCCCGACCTACTAGTTTGACCTATGTAGTTGACCTCACAATCACTGCAGGGTATTTTGTAAATTATATTATTTTGTCTAATTGGGTCAACTATGGTCCTTTAACCGACAGAGCTTGTCCCTGAGTGGGTTTGTAGGTTTAAATGCCACCCTAATTCCTGCTTTATTTAGAATCCTACGTAGGGTTTCAGATGTCCCCTCTTTATATGGTATAACTGTAGATGACTTATGTTCTCTCTTATTTATGTTATTATTACTAGTTTCACAATTATTTTTATTTTTCGTTTGGCCTTTTTCGATCTTCCTAATGAATTTTAAAGGATAGTTAGTTATTTAACACCAAAGCCTCTTCTATCTGTGTTGGTTCATCATTTAGGTCTTTTTTGTGCTGCTTAGTGCTACTGCTCGGTTTGTTAAACACTTAACTAAGCCTGCCTTAACAGTCAACGACGGATGAGATGAATTAAAGTCTAAGTATCTATTAGAATGAGTTGGTTTTGTGTACACACTAGTGTGTAGTTTACCTTCTATTCGTTTTATTTTACAGTCTAACATCACAGCTAATTCTCCTTGTTCATTTTCCGATTCAAGTGTGAATTTTATTCCCTCCACTAGTGAGTTTATGTGTGTCGAGAAGCTAGAGATGTGTTCTGTTTTTAACACTGTGAAAGTGTCATCCACATATCTTCACCATATTTCTGGAGTAGGAGTAAAGGTATTAAGAGCACTACTTTCCCAGCTGTCTATAAATATGTCTGCTACGATAGGGGATATTGGTGATCCCATTGCTACACCTTCTGTTTGTCTATATATTTTACCTTGTAATTTAAAGATAGTAGATGTGAGGCATAACTGAATCCCTAAAATAATTTCTTCAATGGGCAGCTTTGTCCTATGATTGAGTTCAGGATCCGCAGTTAGTTCTTTTTTAACTGCTTCTAAGGCCATATTGACTGGTATATTAGTATAAAGACTAGTTATATCAAAACTAACCATTTTTTCATCGTTCTCTAGTTGAGTGTCATTTAGTTTATTTTTCATCTCATATGAGTTAGTTAGTCTAGAGTTTGAACGATTTCTAATGGGGCATAATATTAGAGCTAAGTGTTTTGATTATGAGCAATAGATTGTACTCGAAACGTCGTCGTCAGTAAACATTACTGTATAACACTGTGAGACTTTATCAAAACAAAAATTTACCCATAATGGAATTATAGTCTACCACAGCGCGCAATTTTTATTCTTATATCAACGTTTGATATCCTATTCTTTCGAGTGCTGATCAAATGGTCGCCTTTGAACACCATACTCATGTATAGCGTCTCCTTCTGCGTCAGAGAGGTGTAGTTTTCCTCTGTTGGCTTTCACTGTTATGTATTTGTCTATGAAGCGTGCAGGGTAGCGATATTTTCTCTGTCAAGCCCCTTGGGAATCAGTGACTACTAAAATCAATACACTTTTGTATGGAGTTTTTACTTTACACTATTTGTCTCTGTAAATTACATCAAGCCAATCATTATAGATGATTCATCGTGCGTTTCAAGTTAAAGAAGTTAGGATGAGGGATTGAGCTAGTTCATGTAAAACAATTATTTATCGATCTACAAAGTAATAAGCATATAATGCATCTTGTCATAC